AAATATAATGTAGTAGTATACATAATTATTAATTTCAAATAAAAATAAAAAATAAAATAATTACTATCTCTCTCTATATATTAAACAGAATATCCCGATCTTAGATTCTTAATTACAACTTATAGTGTTTCATGATTGGTTTGGAGTTATATAAGTATATCTGAACTTGGATACATTTTGTTAGTGTTTTTAAAATTATAAAACACTTGACAAACTTAAAATTGCAACTTTTAAATGTATTTAAAAGTGAATAAATTTTATATTTATTATCATATTTTCGCACACAATATCAAATTAATTAATCATCTTTTGACGATTTTCAATTTGATATCCATATTGCATACATAAAATAAATAACTTTATTTTTATTATAAAATTAAATCATCAATTAATACTAATTATAAATAAAAATTATTATAATATTAATTGGGTGAAAAGACCCATTTTAAATTTTTTAAAATTATTTAAATATATATATACACACACATATAAATTTTTTAAAACTTATCTCTTACATTTTGTATTACGAATTTTAGTATAAACTTTGTTAACTAGCACCCGTTGTACTAGTATTTATTAAGTCTTAACTCCTATAAATTAAACCATCAATTTGAAGTTTTAAGCTGTTAAACAATGATTGACTTTTATTTTAATTTTTGAGTTTTTATTTATTCATATCCATTACTTATGGTTGGATTCGGGTACAATGTGATATTATCATGGGTCGGGTAATTTGCGTTTACTTAGCCGGATCAATGTTTTTTTTTNTGGAAGACCATTGACAAAATTAATGAATAAAACAAGTCACAAGTACAGAGAAACTCCGAGCATATATTTTTCAATAAGAAAAAATCATGAATCATGCCCAAGAAAATAAATTTTATTCATTTGACTTCCCCAGTAAATGCATTATTTTATTTGTTTTCGGAATTTAGTTACATACTATATTGACTATGAACTGATCTTCAATTTCCATGGCGTGGTAAGTAAATAATGATGAATCACGATTCACATGTTGGAAATTGAAAGTGGGGATTGTACATCAAATATTTATTTAACATAGCTATATACTTTAAACTTAAACATCATACTTAAGAAATAATATAAATAAATTATATTATTTCATACCATAAGAATATCTATATATATATATAGATATTTATATATTAAAAAATGTAGTATATATTATGGGTCGAACTCGAAGCTGCAGGTTATGCCGTTTCAAAGTTAATTTTATATTTTTACTTTAATTTAATTTGTTAATTAAAAACAAAATATGGAAAAAAAACATCATCATAACATCCTTCTTGCCTTGTAGGGCTTGACTTTTTGTTATTATGTTACAATAAGGCCTGAATTTTTTACTTTTTTCATTTGAAGGTTTAAATTTTAAGTTATTCTCAACATAAAGCTTACTTTTACATTCTGATTTCCAATTTAAGACTCCAAATCACTTTGTATTTTGATAAAATTACGTAAACAACAGTACTTTTTTTTAAATTTATTTTTAAGTACTTATAATGGAAAATATTAAATATTTTTAATAAATTATCTAATAAGATAATTATTTCATAATTTACATTTATGAAAAAGCTTAATAAAATTTATTTTAAAAGTTTAAAAGAAAATTAACTTAATTTTAATCTAAATATATGACAACATTAAAATATAAACTATTTAGAAAAATAATTTTATTTTTAAATAAACTTATAGAAAATATTATTTGTGAATAAAAATTATATTTTTGAAAAAGTTAAGAGTATATAAAATTAATACCAAAAAAATTCAGCCGTTGGCTGCTTTCTCTTCGCACTTGTGCAGTTTTTATTAATATAGTACTTCTATCGTTTCGAAAAAAAAAATACTCAAAAAATTCTATTGTAGGTAGTTTTATTCACAAGTAATATTTTCTATAATGTTATTCAAAAAAATAAAACTATTCTTCCAAATAATTTATATTTTAATGTTATTACATATTTAGATTAAAATTAAGTTAATTTTTTTTAAATTTTAAAATAATTTTCATTAAGCTTTTGAATAAATATAAATTATGAAATAATTATATTATTACATAACTTTATTAAAGACATTATAAGTACTTAAAAAATAAATTTTTTAAAAAAATATTATTGTTTACATAATTAATACAAAGTGATTTTGAAGTTTTAAATTAAAAAATATACTGTAAAAGTAACCCTTATATTGAGAGTAACTTAAACAACAACCTTCAAATGAAAAAAAATTAAAAATTAACAGTTTACACAATAACAAAAAAATCAAGCCTTAGAATTTCGCACTTTAATACTTTATTTATTCCCAGACAAGATTCGGTGTTAGAACGGTGGAGAATAGGCCGTGTTTGGGAAAACACTGTAGAATATGATGAAATTGATTTTTCAATAGTTCTATGATAAAAGTGTGCGGTGACCTTTACTCAAAAGTGAATCAGGGAAGTGGACAACCAAACAGTCCCTATCACCATCATCATCATCACTTTTACACTGCAAAAGGCATCTTTTATCCTTTTCAATTTCACGTGATTGCTCATTAGTAATGTGACCCTTCGTCATGAAGAGCATCTATTTTNCAAGTAGAGCTCATTAATAGTCAAGACTTGTATGATTGTGTATGTCTAGGAGCAAAAATCATGACGACTTTTAGTTTTCTTCCGAATCTTAATTGGGTAAAAAGACATTGGTTCAGTGAGATCAAAAGTTTAAAATAATAGTAATTTCGATTGATTTAAGGAAATATAAATGTTAAATAATATGTATAGATTAACTGAAACATAAAAAAAAAAAACATTGAGAAATACTTATTAATTCTTTTATATGCACATAAAACACACTTTTAAACTTTTAGGGTACAATTGACTACAAAACATAACTGATTTTAGCTGCTCTTTAACTCAAAATCAGCTCAAATATAGTCTTTTGTTAATATTATCAATGTAATTAAATAATATAAATCAATCACGCCCACACATCATATCAATTTTAGTTTATTATTTATCTATTCATATATTTTCAAATATATATCATTTTTCATAAATCTCTCATACTTTTATATAAAATCAACTTTAATCGTTATATTTTAAATATTATTTAAATAATAACTCAAATGTTATTTAATTTAAATTATTCAAATTTAATTCATTTTAATCCATAAATGCAATCAAAATTGTTTTTATTTATATTTAATCCAATCCTTAAAAAATGTTTGAGGTGGGAATCAAGTACGTCCATATTGAACGACTCTGCCAATTTCGAGTGGACCGCATCTACACCCACAATGCTTTGGGTTCATTCACAAAAATATACATGTCACATAGAAAATAGACTCAGTAAAGAAAAATATGTACTCCAATACAAGTACAAATGGATCGTATCCTGCTTATGTGGCAACAAGAAAAAAAGACTGGGTCTACCATTAAGTATATTTTACACCCAAGTAGAGACCTGTCTTTTTGCATTGGAGTTAAATTTGATACTTTATATATTTTTGTCCACGTCATTCAAGACTAAAGTCTATTTATATGCCACTCTATTTAAGAGTGCTCACAATACATTGAGTCTAACTTTACTTATGTGGCATATAAATAGACTTAAGTCACAGGGACAAAGTCAAGTAAAAAAACTCAAAAGCTATTCAATGCAAAAATATAATATTAGGTCTAATTGTGTGTAAAATGAAGAGGCAGTTCTAGCTAAACCATCTGAAGAAGAAGTCAATCCTTTTTCAATATTCCCTTCACCTGATCAGAATTTCAAGTTAGTGTTGACTAATAGCTAGAAATTATGTTGTTTGTGTGTAAAACGAAGTACCAATTTGTGGGGCTGATTGATCTGTACTCTTTACTAATTGTGTCCAACTTCAGCCTATCTAGATGCTTTGTATTCTTTGTTAACTGTATACTTTATAATTGTTTTTTGTATAATCAGCTGGCCTTTTAACTATCTAGATCTATATATAAATTGAATTTGATACTGCTTGTTGATTAACTTAAAAGTTAACCAATACAAATGTTTCTTAGAAGAATGATGTTTTGATATAAGAGCGAGTCTGGATTTATATAAACCTTTGATGTCAGTTTAAATCTATCATTAAGATTACTGAAGTTTTTTCTTAAATTAATTGATTGGCATAAATGATCCTGGTCATTTATGATTTACACAAATCCGTTTGACGTATGCCAATGGAGATTTTTTTTTTCTACTATAGAGATTTTTTTTTTTCATTTTTTTTGCTTTGAACGAATGGAAATTACATTTACGTGATATGGGTGTATAAACTGACGTGACAAATTTATGAGTGAAGTAATTGTAAACTATTTGTAAACTATTACGTGATGCTGCTACCTAAGGTCAGGCATTACCTATATGCTACCTTTTGTTCGCCTTTTATGTTCCCTCAACATAATATTTTTGTCTTGTTTATATATGTTGGTCTAAGATTGGATTGAATAAATACTTTGCATTGTTATTACTCTTTAACAATGGTTGGTGTGTGCTGTGAAGAATTTTAACAATGAAAATCAGCTTTGTCAGCTTTTCCATTTGGTAATTGCTTTTTATTCAACTGGCAAAGATAAAAAGGTTTTTCTTATAAAATTACTCTTTGAGATGTATATTTATAGGTATGATGATACGAATCCAGAAGCTGAGAAGAAGGAATATATCGATCATATCGAAGAAATAGTTTGATGGATGGGCTGGGAACCATTTAAGGTATAAACTTTCTTCTTCCCCTCTGGTTAGTAGATTTCTGTCTGATTGTTATTTAATTTGTGTTGTATTTACCAGATTACGTACTCTAGTGATTATTTCCAAGAACTCTATGAATTAGCGGTGGAATTGATTCGCCGAGGTCATGCATACGTTGATCACCTGGTTGTTCTTGTTAAGCAATGATTTAATTTTGTTGTCCCATTTTTTGTTTCCTTTTATGTTAAATCTGATTGTTATGCTTTTGTTGATTACTGCAGACGCCTGATGAGATTAAAGAATATAGGGAGAAGAAGATGAACAGTCCCTGGAGAGATAGGCCGATGGAGGAATCTCTAAAATTATTCGATGACATGAAAAAGGAACTGATTGAGGAAGGAAAAGCCACTTTGAGAATGAAGCAGGACATGAAGAGCGACAACTTCAATATGTATGACTTAATTGCTTATCGTATCAAGGTGAGAGCAAGTGTCTTAGGTTGATAAAATTTTGAAGGAGTGACTGATTGATGTAAAACTGTATTTGTCTTTTGCAGTTCACTCCTCATCCACATGCTGGAGACAAATGGTGTATTTATCCAAGTTACGATTTCACTCATTGCATTGTTGATTCTCTGGAAAACATAACTCATTCGGTACGTTAGTTGAGATATAGTAAAATTTAAATAATTCAAAAGAATATCATGAATTAGATAACTCTAACAACTAAAAAATAACTGAAAACCTTAAAAGAAGTCTAAATTGATATAAATTGTCATTTTTGCATGCGTGAAGTTCTGCACGCTTGAATTCGAGACACGACGGGCGTCATACTACTGGTTGTTGGACGCATTTGACCTTTACCAGCCTTACGTGTGGGAATATTCGCGATTAAACATCAGCAACACATTTTTGCTAATGTATTTTATGTTAATTCCACTCG